GCTGCAACGTCCGTTCGTTTTTGAATTCATTATCTTGTGAATTGTGAATTTTGAGAAAAATATGTCAAGATCCTAACATATATCTTCATTCCAATTCTGAAAGCCCGATTCTACTTAACTTGGATCTTTAAAAAACGATTATTTTAATTACTGTTTTTTTTATCTAGAATAACGCTTGTGGAGACCATCAGGGTATAATGCCACTTGCTTTTAAGTGGGCTCGGCCATATTTAGTCCGCGGATCAGTTGGTCCGTGGATCATCTGTTCTGGATGCGACCTGAACACTACGTCTACATTTAAATAAAGCAATAAATGCCGCTCTGAACCGCCTATTCAATAACCCATATATAATTGGATTAATTAATGAACTAACCATTACAATCTTGATACTAATGTTAGATAAAACATTATAAGTGTTGTTTTCGGAAAGCTTTATACTAAGACTCAGTATTACAGCGGGTAGGTAAAGAGCAACAAACGCTACTAAAGTAATTGCTGTCATTTTCAATAATTTTAAGTCGAATTCATTTGTCTGTTTGTTTCTTTGTTCATTTGCTTGTATATTTGCCTGTTTCTTTGTTCGTTCCTTCTTTTGGTCTTGTTTTGACTGACAAGTTTCTTGGGAACTTTGCTGTTGGAATTTTGACGAAGGCCAGGCGGCTTTAGGAGTTGGTTTCGAACACTTCCCGCGACCTTTTCCTTTCCCCTTAAATGGCAATGGTTTCACTTCCTCAAGTTCTTCTACGGCTGTTTTATTTTTAAAATATAACACATTCGGTGTGCTTGAAAGACCAGATCCTTTGGATGTTGATGGCTGTGCTTCGATCTTGTTCGTATGATCATTCTTGTTAATCCGATTATCCCTCATCTGTTCGATGTCATTGCACTCTTGTTTGTTTTTGTTGGTTTTATACCCATTAAGCATCATCTTCTGTCGCCTAACGTGTAGAATGATTGCAGCATAAAACCCAAAGGCCAATATGCAATAAATGGGGTAATGCGGAGTTATCACTTTGGCTACGAATTCCTGTTGGACATTAAGGAACGTACATTCCACAGTCGGGGTCCATGTATTCCAACCCAATAATGGTGGAAGAAAAAGAAAAACAGGGTAAAGCCAACAGAGAGCTATTGCTGCGACAATCTTCTTCATTGTTACCGCTGACACATATTGGGAATGTCGGCAGATTTTAATGTATCTTTCAAATGCTATGAACAGCTTGTGGTCCACAGCAATCATCATAACTACCATGTTCATGTATATTTTTAATAGACATAAGTGTTTGTCGGAGACGTCCTTCATCACATACGTTGCAACTTTAGCGAACGGTATGCCAATAATTCCAGCGAGAAAACCGAGCATTGCAAGACTTGCGACTGCAACATTTGTCTTCTCGCGTAGTTCTTTGCATTTCACAAAGGCAAGTATAACGAGGCCATTAGCTCCAGTAACCACAACGGCCAAAAGTGTATCAAGAATAATAAAAGACAAGCAATTGAGACTTACGCAAGAAAAGTAGTCCACGTCTGTTTCATTTGCACTTGGCACCAACTCGTCCGAAACATTCAATCCAAACTCTACTGCGGCCATCTTGATAACTCTTCTGACTACAAACAGTTTTTCCAACGAGACAGCACTTATATGGTGTCCAAGAAATAGCAGTAGCATAGGCCAGAAATATACATCGTCAGTATATAATCTCAATTATAACACTATACCAGCAGCGATAATAAAAGAAGATTATATAGCAAAAGCGATTACAAAGCTTCCTGCCTAGGGTGTTCCACGGTTGATCTCACTAGTCACTCGACTTAACACGCAAGGCGCTTCCTTAAACTGTCTTATTTAACTCTTTCAGGCTGTATTTAACCTGCGGGATCTTCTTTCAACGTGCTATTGTAATGTTCGTGTTTTAATAGCCATGCATATAAAGGAATATTTCTAATGCTGTTATTATGAAGTACAGGGGTATGTTTTGATACAGGTCTATATATTCAGCTGTACCGGTATATATACAGTAATGCCAACGATATCAACTAAATGAGCGACTCTTTACTATGCGGGTAACGGGCTGGGATAGGCAATGGGTACCCATCGGCACAAACTACTTTGTTTTAAATTAAACTTGTCTCTTTGGACACTCTGATCTTCACTGTTTTTCTGAATGTTCTGTGAAAAAGCTCGACGAAGGTCATTGGATCAGATCTATTCAGTATCAGAGTATTGACAGGACAAGACACAATAATTATAACACGTGAAGCTTGATTCCTCCCTGATACAGTGAGACTTCCATGGTTCATCTTTACTGGATACATTAATGAAATGCGTGACATAATGATAACCCACGTGTAACCTGACGTTTGCTATGCTAAACGACCACGCGTATTTTGATTTAATTAGATTTTCGCCAATATTTTGTTCTGTTTCAATCTGTTTAACCTTGATTAAAGCGTTGTGTCTTAATAAAAACACACCCAAACGTGCAATGGAGGTCGTTTACTTTTGTCTTGTGCTTATTTTGAATAACCTTTTTTTGTAAAGATTACACCGGTAAAGCTATTTCGCAAAATATATCCGGTCGCTGTTAAAAGGGTCAACTATTACAGGTAATGGGTTCCACTTGTCTTGCATAAAATATACATCTCTATTTACGATAAACGTGTCGAGGAAATATACCAAAAGGTTCATATTACATTTTTACAACAGCAACAAGGTTAAAATTTATTAGTCAATCCTGTAAGAAGAAAGCTTTGATAAAGCTCTTGCTTATGTCAACATTTGAATGGACCCATACCTCTCGTACATTCCCATGGGCAACATCTAGTTTAAGATTTGTTTTGAACTTGGCTTTTAGACTTCACTATTTGTCTTTATTTCCTTGAAGAGGTCGACGGCGGTCATTAGACCAGAAATATTGAGTAGATGACTTATTGACAGGACAATAACAATAACACACGGAGTTTGATCCCTACCTGACTACTATAGGGAGACTCTCACGGTTAATCTTTGCTGGGTATTTTTAGAAAATGCGTGACATAAAGACGGGACAAATGTAACCTAATATTTGCTATGCTAAACGACCACGCGTATTTTGGTTTAGTTAATTTTCATCGATGTTTTGTTTTCTTTCAATGTAATAAACATTAAGTAGAGTGTCGCCTTTTTACCGAATATACAACGCCGGCCATTTCTTTTGTTTTTGAGAAAATGATTTTGTTTACATTCTCTCATGTTGTGACATCAATATTAGTGATAGGCCTAAGATGTGTGACATTCACTGCAACAGAGATTTAAAAAATAACGGTACACAACCATTTATAATAAAATAAGGATAAACATATAAACTTAAAGGCACTTACTTACCAATTGGAGAAGCCCAAAGTACCACAAGCACAGCCGCATGTGCTTAAGTGTCAGCCAGAGCTATATGCGCTCATGCAGTAAGCTGTTGGCGTTTGAGCTTCAGCAGGTTTTATCTCCATGCTGGATGCAAGATCTTTTGTAACATCGGAATATGAGCTTAAATCAAAAGCCAGAAACTGCACTTATTGCCTTTGCCACGTTCAACTGTCGGTCATCAACCTGATTAGTGAACCTAAAAGCAACAGAAAAAGACTGTAGAATACCATACTTGTCCACAGTAACACACAAACACACGCACACACACATAAATAAATAAATAAATAAATAAATAAATAGATAAATAAATAAATAATAAGAATATAAATAAAAACATCAAAAGCGTATGAGTATCTTTAAACGTATTTTTTTTATTAAATCTTAGTTACAATTAACGATAAAAATTCAGATGAAATAGAAACAAATAATTTCCCGGGCTACTCCTCCAGTTGCTTGTTTGTAGATTTCATGCATGGCATGCCCAGAATCATACCCATTAGACTACCGGGTATATGCTCCTCTGTGATGTGAATATGCGACGGAAACACCCGAGTACTGCTCGAGGACTCGGGAAAAGCCGGACTGGACTGGGATGAAACAACCCTGTACCAGCGCCAAAGATATATATTTTGCTATATATCCACAGATATTTCTCTGTTTAATTCATGGCAATTTTTCTTCTGTACATTTTGGTATGGGGTTAATATCATCATTAAGTTGGCCTCCAAGATAGAGGAGAATGAACGGTCGTTATAACCGCTTACCTCCCATTTAATAGAGGATACATCCTGAAATCAATTTTTTTCAAGGCGACCATGCCCGTCCACAAAGAGCACTTGCAATCGCATATTTCTTGCAGACCACTGCAACCTAGCGGTTGAGCAGTTACCGTGGTCGTGCGTCAAGGTCGTCAGACGTGAAGCCTATGGAGAATCTGTAGGCAACAATTACTTTCCGAATCAACTGTCTACGGTCCTGTCGACATATCTGAACCAACTCAAAAAAGCTCCGATTGATGACTGAAGTAATATGGCAAAACGACTCTCCTGTCAGAGGGAATGCCTCTCCGCTTGAGAACTAGAGATGCAGAAAGAAAAGGACGCATGAGCTACTGACCGTTTTTGTGACTGCAGCCGCTGACATGCCTGTCTTTTGTGCTGCGTGTCATTCTTTTTAACACAATTAACTACATGAATTATGAAGCCACAAATAATGCACAGTGTGTTTGTTTAATGACTTTACATGTAAATAACCCATGTCTTAGGTATTGCTTAATTGACGAATTCAATTAAAAACTGGTGTCTCTATGACACTGAGGAAATTATTAAAAATAATCAAAACACGATAAAAATATTTGTTTTCATTTATTACTAATTTTTTTAAATGTTTTATCAGACTTAGGAAATAAACACATAATACCAAAATGATTTTTATTGATTGATTAATTAATTTATTTATTTCACACAGTTTTTGGAGACAGAACGTGCCAATCCCCCGTTGTCTATGGCACCAAGTCAGGCGTACAAGTATTTACTCTATATATAAATAACCCTTGACGATCCCAGCGCCTATCCCTTCCTCTACTACCCTGGGAGATCCTGGCTCGATATTCGCTGTACACGGCGATAAGGGAACGGTCTATTTAAAGCGCATCCTGGATCCGTGAGCAGTACGTGTCTTGCAGTATCATATGGTGGCAGTGCGATCACAAGGTATGAATAACCATACTGAATAACCATGTTAATGTTCTTGTATGTAAATATAATGGACATAGTAAACCATACAGATACGTTTATCAAACCGCGTGTTTTAATCTTAGGTGTTAGATTTCCTCGTTCGTCATTTCTGTCTTCGGCGTATTTAGCGTTTTCCACGTGTGACATCCGATTTCCTGATCATCCTTTTCTTGGTATTCTTATTTGACCGGGAACCGAAGGTATATAAAACACGACTCGAGTCTAGTTCGTCAAATTTCCTTCAAAATCATATACCATATGGTGAAAAGGTAAGGAACGATTTGGACGCTAGGCTATTTTAATACGCTTTGCATATAACGTAACGTGTCGTGAGTTTACAAGCGTAATGTCGGTGGCTCATTAACGCGCTAATCACCGCTTCATTCTCTGTTTCAGCCATGATGCTGCGTATCATACTGTGTATTACACTGTGCTGGACCCTGGCGAATGCCTACTCCAGGTTAGTAGACCTAATTAATTCAATTTTATTTACTTTCATTGGGATCAATGTTTTACTCGCATTCTATGCTTTTCTCACAAGAGCGCGTCTCACAAATTTTCAGACACGGCAGTGGCTATTATTGAAAACACATTTGACATACATGCGTATATTTCAGCAACAGATCAAACCCATCTGCAAGTTGTGGAATGCATTTTTGAAACATATTGTAAATCATTTAGACAACAATGCAGACATTTCTGAGACGAATCTGAAAGTTTAAAAATGTCCCATGAAAAAAGACAGGAGCTTGTCGTAACATTGTTAAGCTTATCGTGATTGTCGCAACCTTATGCTGGAGACGTTTTTTTCACCCATAAATTCAGGGATAATTAAATGTGTTTTTAAAAAGCAATTTAGCTCAGTTTTAATTTCTAGAGCAATCTGCAATGCAAAATGTACAGGGAAGGACCAAATTAACAAACCCATTTAGAATAATCATTTTCAAATGTGCATCTTGGTCTTGAATTCTAATTACTTTTTGTTCCACTACTTTCTCTTTGAAGAGACCCTAACACTTCTTGATAACAGACTTAATGTTACTGTGGTGAACTTTTGCGAGCTCGTAATTAAACACGCAAGGAGCGTAAAAATACCCAAAATGACACCCATGAGGAAACAATTAAATGTTTTTAACCTTACTACGTGACTTGGGCGATGTGCAGAAATATGTGACCTTGGAGTAAGCGGTTGGAAAGCTTTAATGAGATAAGAAGTGCTGATGCTTACCCGCTGTTGCCAAATAAGTCCCTCCCTCCCTCCCTCTCTCTCTCCCTCTCTCTCTCCCTCCCTCTCATACGTTTACTTTAAAAAATATTAGAGCGAAAAATTTGATATTTTATGCATAATAAGGTATAGTGGGTTTGTGACGGGGCAGAGCAAACGCCGTGTCCAAGTTCTATTTCTTCACACAAACACCAACAGACAAATTTGCCTTGATCTTCTCCAAAGTAAATCCTTACAGATAACCTTGAGCCAGTAATAGCAGTTATCTGTGATTGATTCTTAAATCAACATTTAAATTGGCTGAATGCGGTTCTCTCATAATCGCTTATGTGTGAGGATGGTATGTTTAGAAGAAGGGAGTGCTATCTGGGTGCGTGGAAAACCAAACACTCGCAGTTATTTTTGTAAACTGACACGGGTTGGCACAGTGGTGTCATTTTTGTAAACTAGTATTAATGACTGAGCTTGTTATTCTGTCTTTTCATTAGGATGTCCTTTATTAAAAAAGCGACAACTTTGGATGCCGCGGTCGTGAAGGCAGTTCCTAGAGTTAATAATGGTGTGAGGATTAGTCATCCAGTAGTATTTTATATGAAAACAGTTTCTAATAGCTGTTTCAAGGTCAACTGAAATAAACTGAAAAGTGAAAAGTTTTTAGTATTTGATAAAAATTCATTTATTCCCGGTGTCTGTCCGAACTTCTTAAGATCTATAGAATTTTAAACGCGATACCTTTAAATCCGGCACTGGCCTAATCCCCTATTTCCCCGTTGCAAAACAGGGTGTGGTATTTGCCCCCCCCCCCAAAAAAAAATAAATAAATAAATAAATAGATAAATAAATAAATAATAAAAAATCTCCCTTCTTTTTATTTAAATGCCACGAGGAACTAAATCCAACCGATGCCAGTTAATGGACGATTTTCATCGAGGCACCTATTTTTAATGACTGTCCTTTTTCTCGGGAAATAGCCCATTATTCAAAAACTCTTTAAGAGACAATACCGCAAAATGCAACTACATGTGTACCCCACATTTTTGAAGGAGATGAACATGTAGGCAAAATCATCCGGACCGCAGGCTGATAAAATGCTTTGGGAGAGTGAAGGCCTAAAATGCATATAAAGAGGCTATTTAAATATGTAACGCCTGTGGTAGCCTACTCATACACATGTATGTACGCTGAAAAAGCGCGAACTTAAGATCTGGATGGAAAAAGGGAATGTGAAATTTAAGTATTGTATAAAGTTGCCCCCCCCCCCCTCAACACACACACACACACACAAACAGAGCCTACGGCCCTGGTCATTATTTTTTAGTCATTTGTGCCTGGTAACAGTAGTTTTATAAATATTTATGGGGGAATTCAGACCATTATAGGCCCGACACTACTTCTCTTTCACTTTGTCTACTTTAGCACGTATATTATCGTCTCTCCGAACGCCGTACGACCGGGACTCCCTTTGAACGTCAGCGTGTCCATCCTTAAGGCGCCCGCGCCAGTAGATGTCACGTGTACCCTTGTCAAGAACAACGTCGATATTACGTCACAGACCGGGACATTTCAAGCAGGTACAGTTACAGTTACAGATTTTTATTGTACTTTTTAGAATGTTTTAAAGCGCGTACTTGGGTATAAATTGTCTGTGTGAGTTGATTTTTTTGTGTTTGCAGTCTTAATAGCTTTTTTGGCAGATATATCACACTACCACTACATTTTTATCTTTATCTTTTAGGAAAGCCTGGGACCCTTTTAGTTCAGGTAAATTCATAAAATACTTTATCATCTTCACAGTTAAAATTTCTTTTCGCCTTAAGTAACCAAGTGCCAACTTTTATGGCCATTGAGAAAACTACGTTGTGCTTAAGCGACATGTTTGATGATTCTTTATACTTTGTCATTTTTGGGTCCTATTAACTTTTAGGTTCCGACCAGCTCTACTTCCGGGTCGTACAGTCTGCGCGTAGTAGGAAGCGGAGGATTGCGCTTCAGGAATGAGTCCCAGCTCGCCTACAAGTCTAAAGGAATGTCCATCTTCGTCCAGACGGACAAGGCCATCTACAAACCCGGACAGACAGGTCAGTTCGATGTCATTGGACGATAATTGTTTGCCATTTATTGTTTACTTAGTAAACTTGGAACTTTCATTTAAATGCACAACACAGGACGTGAGTAAAATATGAATGCGGCCTCTACCGGTAAAAAAGAAAAAAGCGATTAGTAATTAAATAGAATTTCATCGTCCAATCTATGTAAATGTTGGAACAATAGTAGTCTAGCGTCTCTGTTTATTTATTTTTTACTTTCAGTGCGTTTACGAGCGTTGGCAGTGTATCCCGACTTGAAGACCTTCAATGGTCCTATGACAGTGGAAATCTACGTAAATTTATTTTTATACCATTTCAATATTTGAAATGAATATTTTATCCTTTTACTTATTTATTTTTATTTTTTGGAATCTTACTAAAATAGTGGTCGATTATAATGATATAAATATACCATATTTACAACATTAAAACTGGAAAAGAATTTAGGTCATGCAGTTATTCTTTTAATAATCTCTATTAAGAACCATATTTATAGGGCCAATTGCTAACAACTAAATATGTTTTCTTACAACAGGACTCGCTGAAGAACAAAATTAAGAGATGGGTCAACCTGCAAGAGCCCTCTGGTGTGGTAGCTGCTGATCTTCCTCTCTCAGAACAACCGCCCCTTGGCAACTGGAAGATCAAAGTGATCGTGGCGGTAAGTTAAACACACACACACACACACACACACACACACACACACACACATATATAAAGGAATATCCTATCAAAGCCGTTTGAGAAATTTAAGGTCAAAATAGCCGTTTTTGAGTTCCTAATTTGCCGTCATGAGTGCCATTCTCCAAAACCTACCTCCATTACAAGGTTGGTTGAAAAATAAGTGGTTTAGGAGTCATTCCCATTGCAACAATCGGTCTACGTAGATAGCTCCCACTCCGCTGGGACTCTTGCTAAGTGCAGTCAGTTCAACATATTGACACGCCTCTTCCTGGCTTTGAGTAGGATGATTATACCAGTACGAACGTTAGCATTCAGCGAGAATCCCCGATGAGCAGGATCAATCTACCTAGACCGATATTTTCAATGGGAATGAGCCCTTAAAACTAAAAAACGTTGATCGACACACGTTGATCGTAGTTCTGTCAACAAGTTTAGACTTGGTATACATGTAGCTACCCTGGGAGTTAAGGTAAAGGATTTAATTTTTACAGAAAATGCTTAATAATTGTAAGGGTCTTACGCTCTCTCTTTGACACTCAACTCCTTTTTTGTATGAACGTTGCTTTCATTGTGAGACATATTGAGTCGGTTGAAAGAGTATGCAATGCGTCGTGCAAGACGGATGTTAATGTACTTAACCTTTCGAAACGAGATATTACCATAATCATGTAAATTGTGTCGAAACACAAGTGCTATTGCCGGTAACTATCAACATTAATTATATAATACACTGGTTGAATTTTTAAATAATTAGATAAAATGAGCATCCTTATTTACCCACTTAGGGCCAAACCGAGGAAAAGCAGTTCAGTGTGGACGAATACGGTGAGCTTTAGTCATACTCATAATCATTTTGGAATCACCACAATAATAATAATAATAATAATAATTGAAAATCAGGAAAATTAAGATAAATATTTCATCGGCCATAAATTATACCCGCCGTTGTATTAGACATGGACACTGGAGACAGTTGCACTGAGTAAGTGATGTTTAAGTTTGATTTATTTTAAAATAGACTTTAAGTCTATTTTAACGCTTCTACGCACACGCACAAACGCAAGAGGTGCAGTCCGAAACAGTGTCTATCTTTTTTTCTGTTTTGTGAGCATTGTCAGGCAAACAAAACGTTTACAAACGTTGATCCAACGACCATATCAAGATCCAAGTAGCTTTTAATATAACATAGAGTATACCTATTAAAATAGGTAGGCTATACTCTATGTTATATCCTGCAGGTGTATGTAAAAAGAACTTTAAGGTAATACGATCAGCCAACCGTAAAAAATGTTCTTAATATGGCTTTTTGACAATAGCCACCAAGTTTAAAATATTTGTTCTTTTTTATTTACTGGTGTTGACTTTTCCAGTTCTTCCAAAATTTGAGGTGACGGTGAATCTACCATCATTCATGCTGACCACGGATACACAACTCAAGGGAAGCGTGAGCGCAAAGTAAGCTGCCACTGTGGCTTGTTTTAGTCTTTCTTTTAAAATGAAACGGTGGCACTTTATAATTAATTAAGCTGCTCAAGCCCTAGATTTGTTGTAAGGAATGATGTGAAAACTCTATCAACCAATCAAACTTGACGACACTTCGCGAAATTGTCGTTAAAATAAACTTAAAGCTGTACAGCATATTGTTTACTGTTTATTTCATATGAATTCTTAAATTTAATGTGCTTCTGATAACAAGCTAAATGAAGGGTTGTTGACTGGAAAAAAAGAAGCAATGGCACATGCCTTTTTTCGGAAGCGTCTGAAACAAATTATAGGCTATATGTAAGACAATACAGTCTGTTTTGGATATTTACATTACAGTTGATATATATTTATTATTCACCATACTGTAAGATAGAATGGTTGCATTACGAACTGCTCTTAGCAGTCCACAGTATTTCATGGCCCATCTAAAGCACTATATTGTAACTTCCAGGTACACCTATGGCCAAGCAGTGGAAGGCACAGGTGTCGTGAAGTTGAAACTTGATTACTATTCGTATAGGTACAAGGGACCGAGGGAGATCGTCAAGCATCTCACGCTGGTAAGGTCGTTGGCACAAGTACTCTTTATTAAATATATAGCAGTGTAGATGTCAAAGTGAATTAGGTGCTCCAGTGAATTGAATGAGTACGTGTAAGTGTGTTAGATGCGATAGCATTTCGATGTAAATGTATGTTTGAGGTGACAGCTTGTTCGATGCGATAGCGTGTTAAATGTGATCATTTCTTGATGTTACAGTGTGTTGTCTGTCACTGCTTAGTTGTGACAATGTTTTGTTCATTTCAATTTGTATTGTATGCGCAGATATCGCAGCGTATTCAGAAATTATCGAAAATAGAGAGAGCTGTTATTGATTTAACAGCAGACATTATACAAATGATAGTAGAAAATGTTGATCATAGAACATGAACATAATTTTTAACTTGCATAAATTAAATGAAACAGGTCGACGGGAAAGCCGACTTCACAGAGGACGTGGCGGTTTTGAAGAATATGTATTATTATGGACTAAGCTACAGAAAAGTAATCGTGGACGCCCAGGTGACAGAGACCCTCACTGGCATTACGCTGAATGGGACGGCAGAAACAAAGTTCCACACTACTCCATACAAGATAGAGATACCGTCCTCCACCCCTAAGTCTTTTAAACCGGGACTTAGATACACCGGCTTTGTAAGTACTTGTAAATACATTATCCTGTTCCTGTTCATAAGTTAATTTCTTGGCATATAATGGGAGTAATATTCAAGACAATGGATATTATGTGATTGTTGAAATATCACATATCATGTTAAATAGTCTAGTGAGACACTGGAGTTGCTTTTTCATATCAACAATTTTGTGGTGTAGTTCATGCATTTTAATTCAAAAAGTGCAGTTCTAATGCAAATTTATGCATTTTTGCATGTTTGCTGGTACTTCATTTACCGGTACGTAGCTAGGACCCAAACAGCTACGCTCGCCGCAGACAACCCTATCATGTTGGTCAGTTGTGTGTTAAGGCAATACAGCGAAACCGATGCCGTAGCCTGGTGTAAAGGGAATTTCTGTGTTAGCTGTACAACATATCGTCCCAAGCCTTTATATTATGTGTATTTACACTTGCGTGTATGACATTCCTTTACAATAGGCGAAAGTGAGCTTGCAAGACGGGAGACCAATTGTTGGAGCACGCCCAAAACTTCAGATCGACACCCGGGTTCAATATCCAGAGTTCATTCCAGATGGAGTAACTACAACCACTCCCCGCTACTACTGGGGTGTGTACCCCCGGTACACCTACAAAAGTGAGCCCACTCAGGTACTTGAGGTACCGGATGACGGATTTGTTCATTTCAACATGGATGTTCCAAAGAGGGCATCAGAGGTTTCATTCACAGTGAGTATAAGTTAAAAGGCTTTTTCATTACTGATTGGGTTTTGCTACTTTCCTACCTGATAATGTTCACTCTTCTTGAGCTGTCGTTCAATAAATAAATAAATAAATAAATAAATAAATAAATAAATAAACAGAATACAAGAAACTCAATGTACACACGAATAAGTTTTCTTCCGAAAAAATTTGCCTTAAAATTAAAATCATAAACATGTAAAACTATGTTTATTTTATAAGGTTTTAGAGTAACAAATGGTGTGTTGACGCTTCGGTTAAATTGGAAAAAAATCACATTGTCTTTTATATGTTGCAACGGGTGTGTATTAATATGTATGCAAATAAACACTTGTTTTGTGTCAGTGATGGTAACTTATATCGTAGATTAAATATGGACCCATATCACGTTACCACAGTGCTGATGCCTTCAAGTCCCCAAGCGACAGCTTTCTTCAGGTCCTACTAAAAACACCATCGCCACAGGTAAGGAACCGATTTTCTTTTACTTAATATACCGGATAAGCCTTCAGTTCACACATTGATGGTGTATGCGTAATTCATTGATGATTATATTTATTATTTGTCGATTTTATTCAGTTCCTAGGGCCTGTTTTACGCGCGCGCGTGCACACACGTACACACACAAAAAGCAAATAAATAAATAAATAAAATAAAAGGGTTTTTATCACCACTAAGAAAAGATTTAATTATTAAAAGAACGATCAGTGCATACAGTTCCGTATGCTCAGTGCGTTCAGTTTTACAAGCATACATTTACTGTATGTTCATTTACTTTCAGGCTGGAAGCAATGCTGAATTTGAAGTCAAGTCGACCGAGCAAGTGAAGGAAGTGGTCTACCAGGTTTGATAACAGTTTCTATCCCCTTGCTCGCAATAGGTGTTTACATTCATGCTATAGAGACCCCCATTTGATCCAAAGTCTTTCAAATATAAAGTTAAAAACTCGGCGTGTATTGGGTATTCTACACGAACAGCGCGCCCCTAGCGGGTGTGTGTGTGTGTGTGGCTTGGAAGTTTTTTACTGCAAAACCAATTTTGGTATAATCTTTCACTTATGAACCGAATGTGTATTTAGTAATTGATTGATTTTAAACTTTTGTGTGGAATGGCGATAAACATACATGTACTTATCTACAAAGTATGGGTCAAAACTGTTCGCAGACGGTAACCTACGTTAAACCTGTGAATAAAACACTCTTGCCACAGCATCATCGTGTCATATCATGGCCCATGGAAATACAACATTAAAAGGGGACCTGATTCACATTTAACTAAATACCACACCATTGCGTATGCCTACATATATTTTACGTCTTACGTCTACAGATTTTGGCTCGTGGGAACATTGTGTCAACAAAGAGAGTCACTGTGTATGCCGCCAAACCACTCCAAGTTGCTATTACCCCAGAGATGGCGCCTAAATCCAAGATGGTCATCTACTATGTACGTAGCGACGGGGAAGTTGTTGCAGACAGTCTTAATTTTAACGTGAAGGGAGCTTTTAAAAATCAGGTATGCTCAAAATTTGACAAACATTTATTTTTTAAATTTTTGATTTTCGCTGTACACCACAAAAAATTTGTCCAAACTGTTCCACGTGCAGTGAAATCAGTTAATTAAATAGCGATATAAGAACAGCAAAATAGCCTGCATTTGTAACCGTCTAAGACTGACATATTAATCAGGTTGTTTCTATGATATTCAAAAACGTCGGGAAGGTGACGATATTTTATTCAAAAGGAGCAATAGGCATTTTAACCGTAATTTTCTGACTGCTCTGAATAGGGAAAACTTTGGCGGGTAAGAATAATTTTATTATATAAATACAACGTCAATACTTGTCGCTTTTATAGGTCTCCATTCAATTTGACAAAACCAAGGCAGAACCCGGCCAAAAAGTAAGCGTGTCGCTGTCTGCCGATCCTGGATCGTTTGTAGGCCTCTTGGCTGTAGACCAAAGTGTGTTGCTGCTTAAATCTGGGAATGACATCACTCAAGAGGAGGTATTCAATTTATTTGATCTTTTTTATGGAAGTGTGGGCCTTTTTTAGTATTTAAAATTACGCTTATCAAACGGATAAATGATTTAAGCACAATCAATTTTTTTTTGTATGTCTTATATTGGAAGGTTGTGTAATAATTAATATTAAGACTTTACACTTTAGACTGATTTTTAAATACCTGTACTAGTATGCAGTGGCGGATTTAGAGAGGGTAAGGGGGTCCTCACCCCCCCTCCCCCTTCGATTTCTGGTCCCCTCTTGAAATCAATTTTTTTACTAGCTGAATCATAGTTCGAAACCGTACCAAATGGCACCGTGCGCCGTCTAAAATACCAAAATTATTCGGGGCCCGCCGGGGGGGTGGGGGGGGGGTGAAGTCGGCCTGGCATCCAAGGACCCCTTCAAATTATCCTGGATCCGTCCCTGATATGCATGTGTCTGGTTTTTGTGTGGCGATCCCCGCAAGAAAACGCAGTAGATACTCCAGCGCAGTAGACTACTGCAATCATACTGCAAACCGCAGTAGACTACTGCAATCATACTGCAAACATGCTTCAAATCTGCTTCGATTTGGGAGCTAATTAGCATATTTGAAACATGCTTCTATCATGCTGCTAATCTACTGCTTTGTACTTCTTGGAGTAGAATTGCAGTAGGCTATGCTGCATTTGTACTGCAAATATGCTCCACACCACTACTGCGTTAATGCTTTTTTGCTACTTCGATACTACTGCATTTTCGTGCGGGGAACGTCTGTCCAGTTGTAAAATAATCCCCTACAAGGGAGAATTCGAGAACATTGGCTATTTGGTCATCAAAAAACTATATTTCAACTGAATAAAAAAAAGACCATTCTACCATGCTTTTTTGTTAGGTACTGGGGGAATTGGATACATACGATACAAGGAAAGAATCGTTTTATGGCTGGGGTGGAGGTCCAGTCATTGGGAGAAAGAAGCGGTCGATTTGGTGGTATCCCATTCCGATAGGTGGCACTGATGCGCATGACATGTTCCAGGTAAAAATACAAGATTGTTATACTGCATATGCAGTGTATATGGTCAGATTTGAAATCAGAACGGCATATGCATCATCTCAAGAACCCTTTGAATGTTATATGGTAGCGCTTCTTGATGTCATCTTTCATTTCTTTCAAGAAGCACTGATTGTTTTTCATGGACGTCAGTGAAGACAGCACCATTTTATCAGATTTTCAAAAAAAAAAAAAAAAAAAAGCAATATTGTGCTTCGTTTCTGTAATCATTTATCAATATTTTTTTCAGAACACCGGCGTCGTTGTTTTATCCGATACAATGCTTTACCAGCATAAAGAACCAATGATATGTAAGTAGTAAGCGCATGCACATACTATGTTCAAAACAAATGTACCCACATTCATGCCTTAGGTTTAAGTTATAAAATTTAATGAGCGGGTTGCTTAAAAAAGATGTGTTTAATGATTCATTGATTCGCCCCAGTATAAACACCTAAGCAAAAACATGCACAAATGCATGCATATTTTTTCAACATTACTAATATTACTCGATAATTAATTATTATTAGATGAATAAAAATAAGTAGAAACGTTTGTTTTTCTGTCCATCTTTTTTAGTTTTAATATATACTCAAGCTAAAACGAATGCATTGGAATAATTACTTTATTTTCAGGATATGAGGATGATGCTTAAGAAATGTGTTTTCATACATAAAATTTCAGTTATAAAGCAACGACGCGTTTTAGATTTTAGTCATCACCTCAAAGTGTTACAGCGGTATGGCTTCAGTATCGTGAAGTCTTACCGAAAAGTAGAGGAAGTATGAGCAGTTATTTCTTTAAAAAGGATGTTTTAGCATCTAACTAACATTAAGGGTAAGATATTTTTTAATTTCTAAAGGATGTAATCCCAAGTCAAGTATAAGCTTGATAAGATAACGTCCTTTTATTGAATCATGAAATATCTATTTCAGTGTAGGGTAACTTGTTTCCAAATATATTTAGACACTTGATAATAACATTACAGTGCATTGATTACTTGTTTCTATCTCTGTCATAACTTGGTTGGGAATTGAACGTTGTACGTTATTAAAGAGATTTCTGCAGAAACCCAATAAAACGTTGAAGCAAAGAGATAGACATATCTTTAGCTGAAGGAACCCATTGGCATTCAATATACGTATCTGAGACTTTACTAGAATCAGAAATGGATAACATGCTGGTACTTCATACATGTGGCAAAGCCGTCATGGCGAAACCCTGTAAAAGTAGATAGAGTGCAAAATGTCTTCCTGGATATTTAACCGTTTGGGATACATTATATGATATGTTTTGGTGAATGTACAACAACAGTGTAATTTTGATATGCATGTTTAGATCCTCCCTTGCCAATGCCGAATGTAATGCCGGCTGTCAATCCCAATCCAATCCCAATGCCGAATGTTATTCCAATGCCGAATCCAAATCCAAATCCCAATCCAAATCCTGGCGGCACCACCGGGACACAGCCACTGCAAGAGGTGGGGCGAATACGTAATGTCTTCCCGGAGACATGGCTTTGGCAAAATGCCAGTATCGGGTAAATTGTGAAGATTGTGTAAGGTGGATAAAAAGGCTCTCTAATTATTAGCTTTCAACGGAGCTTTTGACAGTACTGCTGCTGGACACTGTCTTTGGCAAATACCCCATAACAGCAGCATTGTGGGGTTCAGTATAAAAATGATAAAAACATTTTGGCATTTTCAGTCTGGATGACAGTATGTCACACCAGAAAAACCACGCAGTATTTTGCCCCCCTTTTGTCTGATTACAAAAAGAACATTGACCAGTGCCTCACCAGCTTTATCTATTAAACAGAGAAAGTGTTCAGTAGGCGGCGTGTTACTAGAGCCGAGCACGATTAATGTGGGGGAATAACGTCCAAGAGTGTTCAAACATAAGTAATGTACGTTGTAAGAACAGGCCCTGTCTGCAATTCAGATATATGCTACAGAAAACCAGCCAATTTGATCAAACTTGATTTAGCGCCAATCTAAAATTCGAGGTGTTTTTTATCCACCTGATTTATGATGGGCGACGAATTTGCTGCGGGTAAAAAGTGCGCTGCTTCTCACTACAGATCCACCATTGCCTGGATTCGGCGGCGGCGGCGGCTGGGCAGGGGGTATTATGCCGGCTGGGGCAATCAACGCAGGTGCGGGCGCGGGTGGGCCCTTGCCGGTTCCCGCTGTCACCTCCGCTCCTGTGCCTGGGAAACAGCCACTTCAAGAAGTAGAGAAAATTCGTAACGTTTTCCCAGAAACGTGGCTGTGGCAGAATGCAAGCGTTGGGTAATTCAAGTCATCAGAAAAGGGGCGGTGCATGGAGTTGTTATTGGTTTTGTGATGATGTGGCGTTTTTTAGAGAGCGTGTTTATGGGGGATTGGCTAGCGCAAGAAACCGATGATTAGTTCTACAAATAATTAATGAATAATTCACCATCTACACGAAAATGCTACATAGTTTTCGGGTTTCAGGTTACAAATTCGTTGATTATAAATGTTTGATTTTGTCTTGGTGGATGTGATAGACGGTATGTAGCAGTAGTTCATAGAAACTGTGGGGCAAATGGAAAAATGTGAGTTTGACTCGAATGACGCAAAATGACTCGTGAAACCTATCTGGAAGGTCACCTATCTCGAAGGTCACCTATCTGGAAGGCTACAACGGAAATATAGCTCGACCATAATATTTCTTTTTCAAAGTTACTTTAGTACTATAAAATGAAACACCCGATAGTTATAAGACAGCATATATGCACAAAATCTTACTTAAGCAACATGACCCCATTTTAGATCGATTATTGAAAGACACGCTTTATGTAAATGTAAGAGAGAAACACACAACATGTGTTAAAGGTAGGATTTTATATGACTTTTTATCGATGAATGAAAAGATTGAAAACATGCTTAAGGACATCTCTTTACTTCTTAAAGATACAGGTAAATCTTCTCCTCCTAAACATATAGATAAGACTGTATAATAATAATACTAATAATAATAATAATAATAATAATAATAATAATTATAATAATTATTATTATTATAATTATTATATTTATCTATAGTCTAAAATCCATATAAAATGTTCAGTAGGCTTGACATAGGTAAAATGAACAAAATAAGATTACCAAAGAAAATGAAAAGGTAGTTAAAATAATAAGATATGAACTAAAGATGTGAACTAAAATGTGATGTAATTGATGAACAGTTAGGATTTTAAGATATTAAAAATAAATTGTTCAATTTAAAAGATAACAGTCAGTCAAATCAGTTATAAAACTTTTTGAAAATATAAAGACAATCCGAATGAATGGGTTTTATATTGTTACCATCAACACGTGACCCCCTGATTTTTTTTGTGCAAGGTCCGTATAGAATGGAACTGTAGTTGACTATGAAAACGATAGGCCCTGGTGTTGGGAGCGCACTACTTATTTGATGTATTGTTTTGTTTTCACCATTATCATATTTTTTGAACTTGATTTAAAGAGGGGTAAACATTTAAAGCGCAGGCTTGTCTTCCACATGACCGTCTCTTACCAGTTGTTCAGCATACTGCGTTTGTTCCCTACTTAAACCTTTATGTGCTAATTGCTTAGCAAAGAGACAGCAGGCACCATTTTATGATGGGCTTTGGTATGACCCGGCCGGGGAATGGACCCACAACCCTCTGCACTGGAGTCGAGTACTCTAGCATTTGAACCATTCGATCTAGTATAGTTAGAATAACTGAATGTATATGTGTACAGTTTCTATTGTGAGAGGATCCTAGAGACGCCCCTTGATTTACATTATGATTTGGTAACGTGCTCGTTTTACGCGTCAGTTCATCTTGCCGCTATTGCGAAGAGAACGATGGCGGTATCGTAGGGAACCCAAAAACCATACCACGTATCCAGACCGCATTAAACGAAGAAATTGAAAATTAGTGCCTTTAAAAAGGGACCACAAAAGCGTGGAAATAGTTCTGAATTCACCTTCTTCTGAATAGATATTGTGTTTCGCTATATTTTCAATATTATATTTACAATTATCAATGCGTGACTTCATCTCCAGACCCTGAAGTAAGACCTATGGTAGATATGCTCGGTGGTGGCGGGCTCCCAGTGCCGGCTATAGCAAAAGAAACCATAGGTCGTCCAAGTGGTTCATCCACTGGAACATCCGGTCAACAGACACTTCAGGAAGTGGACAGAATACGTAATGTTTTCCCGGAGACTTGGCTGTGGCAGAATACGAGTCTAGGGTAATACATGTATAAACTGATAGGGATAGTTAGCATATGCTTACAGCGTAGAGTAATGGTGTTGATTTCTTTTTGGCGTATGTGAGTAGGGCCAATTCCAAGCATTCACCAAAACTAAATGGAGTAGTTACATAACCAGCTAGAGCATAAGGTAAGCGATACATATTAGAGAGCGTCAAGTGCGATTTTCAACCCTCTATGGTCTGTAGTAAGGGGTCGTTAGTATATGTTTACATTGCGGAGTAAAGGTCTTGATTCCTTTTTGGCGTATGTGAGTAGGGCATATTCCAAGTATGTGCCAAAACTAAATAGAGTAGGTCCTTTACACCCGCAAGTGCATGAGGCAAATGATGCATGTTAGGGAGCCACGAGCGCATTTTCCAACCTAGTCCTCTGTGGTCAATAGGCCAAGATCCGCTACAAAATGTCAGTTTTGCCAGTACCAGATTTCCAGAAACAATTGGCTGTGGTTGGAATGAACATGTCTTTGATTCCAATTCTCCTTGCAGTATATAAATAGAAAGAAAGAAAGAAAGAAAGAAAGAAAGAAAGAAAAAAGGTTTCCTGGCATTAATCGCAACGCAGTTTGTTTTGTTTACGTGTTTGTTTATCATTTATGTGAGAAAACAGACCCGCCAAACCTACAATATCGTGTGGTGAAGAATGCTCTAAAAGCATACCCAAATCACCCTTGAAAATGTTGCTTTGGCGTTTACATAACAATATACTGGTATGTATGATAATGTGCTGTTTTTGATGTATATATTTTATTTTTTTCACCATGAGTTGTACAGGTACATTGTCAGTAAGTTTCTTTGAGATTATGTAATGTAGTTGTAAGGGATAGACCTGTTTCAAACCACCGCCAAACAACTGGGGCAGCTTAGTGCGTGGTTTATGTAACGGTTAAATATGCATACATGGCTTCGGGCATATTATATCGATGAAAGCGCTGGATATATGCCTTTCAGAATGTATGGAGTTCTTGTAGACTGTTTTCAAATCCAGCACTTCACTGACAGGATTTATTTCAATTTCAATTCACTGTAACTTTTAACGGAAAATTGGCCTACATTGATTATTTCGTAAACAGGGCGTTATCCGTATAGACCTCCGTACCCCAGGTACAGACCAAGAGGTCCCTCTAACGGGTCTGATGGAAGAGGAAGGGGTCCTGCGGGCCCTGCGGGTCCTGCCGGCCCAAGGCCGCCAATGACGCCAAGCACACCGAAGGAGAACCCAAAAGACTTGGCAGAAGTAGAAAAAATACGAAAAGTATTCCCAGAATCATGGCTGTGGAACAATGTGACAGTTGGGTAGGACAAGGAACAAACATGTCCCATTCACCCCTAATCATCATATATTTTTAATTTTCAAATTATATGGTGCAATGCAATGGTGCATGCTATCTATCTATCCTTAAATATATCACGGTGTTCATACCCAGGTAGCATATCATTAACCTCGCTAACACTCCCCATAAACTAACTTGATAGTACGTGTGAGGGTTTGCTGGTCTGTAATCTCGATGTTACCACGTTCATATTTATGCTCATTTAAATAGACATGTAGTGAAGCAGTGGACACAAAACCAGGTACATGTAATTCATACTGTATATGCATTTATGGAACTAACAGTACTGCAGTGTACACGTTCGTTCATGCACAGATGTACCAAACATGTTGGGTATATTGTAGTCGACATACATGTTTAATTAACCAGTGATCAATTTCAGAAGGTCTTCGGGACGTATTATACCGTTTATGATAACTAACACAAGGTGGACATCTTTAACAAGGATTGTCCGATGTTTGCCATTATTTGGCTCCTTGGCAGACGCATACGGTGTTACCATAGTGCGTGCACATTGTCTAACAAAACCATATATATTTGGTTATTTATACATTTATGAAGTGAGGAGGTACAGGCCAAGACCAGGAGGCTGGGGACGACGATTTCGCTTCCGCGTGAGAATGGCGCGTCCATCAATCCGACTAAAAGTAAATTCAGTCGCCAAGCCAGATGTTGCACCCACCAGGCCTAAAACCGAAGGAGCTAATCCAGAGCCTCGCATCAGGAGGATCTTCCCGGAGACATGGTTGTGGAGCAACGCGACAACAGGGTAAAGAGTGGGAAAATGGAAGAACTTGCACCTGTATATATTAATGTGCATGACATTAAGGATACCCAATACTTTGGAGAAGACTTCTAGCCTACTGTGTACATGCATGCATTTGTTTTTTCATGACGCATGTGGTCAGAGATTCTTGCTCTGTTGTTTTCAGTTACTCCGACCTTCATTTGTCCTTGGTTATGAAGTGCATGGTTTCTTTTTTATGTCATTTGTCCTTGGTCATGGTTTCTTTTCTATGTCAGTCTATGTAATGTTGCATGTGGCAATGTCGTTCTTAAAAATGTTTTTGACGGCGCATGTTCTAAGAAAAACCAAATAACACGTGCACTAAGACCTCTTACTTTGAAGCTATTTCTTTAAGATTCATGATACTGATTAACACTGGAGTAAACACTTGTAGTTTCGAAGCTAACATTTTGTGTTTAGCTAATTTGATAAGTCTTATATATACAATATAAAGCACATCTCTTTTTCTACTAGAAGAGAAACACGCATGTTACATCACTGCCATAAATTACGGTTATAATTAAACGATGAGCATATCGCCTTCAGAAATATGCTTAATTTTGGGATCTTGGACTTCAGCTGAGACTCATGCACAGTATTTCTGTCCTTTCGTCAAGACCCAGGAGCTAAATCCTTCATTTAGTATTTTGATGGGGGATAGGTTGAGGGTCCAACTTCCCGTATAAGGCTACGTAACAATTCAAACAATAATAAGAAAAAGCTTGTTTTGATGTCTAGGGGGAAGAGTGGCCTTTACAATAAGCCCTGTGGTGGATTTTTCATCGGAGACAGATGGCGATTCTGATGCTGGAGATTCTGATGATGGCGCAGTCGAGAAAATTGATGGAGGTTTGGCGGATCTTGGGGCGATACGTTCGTTTTTCCCTGAAACGTGGCTTTGGTCCAATATATCTATTGGGTAGGCGCGATAAAAGAGTAATCTTCCTTTAACACACGTTCGTGGATATTCATCTCTCTGTGAATGCCATACTGACGTTACCGAACTAACAATTTTATTTTGGCGGCGAAATGGTGCAAATGAACTTATACTCAGCCATTTGCTTTCAGACTAACATTTCATTTAGGGGCCGTGGGAGTTGAGTACTAGTTTTACTTTAAAGCCACTTGGATACCGCCCATAATGGTTCCATATTTTGTGGGTAGCAGGTAGCCTTATATTCTGGAGTTTTAGGAAACAGAAATCAGTCGCGTTACTAACCTAAAGGCAACTCCATTGCGCAAATACGAACATTTGCTCCCTCAAGGCTCCATACCGTCTCCTCTTTTTATGGTGTCAGTAAAGGAGTTCGTTTAGGATAAATATGGAGATGCTTTGTTGTGTCCAGACAGCATTTCTGTGGCTTGTAATGAATTGAATCCAAACGTACCTGACGTCACTATTGTTATAAAAATCCAACCATCTAATAAATTTTGTGAAACTGAAAGTATTGTATTCAGCTTATTAGTGTAGTTTCAGGTTTTACAAACAAGCTATTCATTGGTATAATACTGTTATGGCCTTTGTATTTAAACTTTTAAGACTGGCCAGGTATGCCCACGCCAATGCCAATGTGGACTGAAGCATTTCGCCCCATGCCTTCATTTGGTGGTGTCGTCCCAACGCGTGCATCATCATCATCATCGACTTCTGCAGGCGGAAAGTTAACCGAAGTGAAAACAATAAGAAAGTTCTTTCCAGAAACGTGGTTGTGGGTGAATACTACAACGCGGTAGGCAAAACCGTTTGAAAAGTGACTTTTTAATTTTAGTGCACAGCTTTTCTTTATCGGCATTATAGCGACAAATGCCTACATCGAGAGAAGATTTTTATCCATCGCCTTCTTTACCTGTGAATATAGTATTGGCTCTATCTAGAATTCAGCGCCATATTTTGAGGTCCCTAGAAAACGCTTTTACCATAGCAAGAATGACTTATATTGCTTAATACACGAGTCTGATATGAATAATTGGACATGATGGACAAGAAACAGTTCCATAATGCTCAAGACGTCAGTTATAAACTGGAGGACAATTTCAATGAAGCAAAAGGGTTGTATGTAATAGGAACAGTTAAAGAACAGTGTGTACGCCTTATAACACGTTGTTTTCTTTTCTCCAACTTTGTTTTTAGCAGAGTGGCTTTTTCTCCCGCTTCATATCAGTGTGGTGTATCGATCTGCTTTCATAACATGCTTTTATGCTTTTAGGTGTAGCTGCTACTATATGTACGTATGCTTTGGATGCATACAATTATGCTTTATTGTCTGTCAATAAATGTACATGTACGTGGATGACATTCAATCCTTTAATTTTAAGGTTTCTCAGCACTTGTTAACTATATTTCATGTATATTCCATTCCGATAGCATAATTTACAGGTACATGTCTTTACGGGTGGCCAATTGCCAAATTGCATTTTTATTACGTTTGAGTCTCTCTCGAAGTCATTTTAACTTGTGTTTCTCACGAGAATATTTCTGGTGCCTTTTTATGTTTTCCAAATAGATTGTACGCCACTATCTTAAACATTAACAATATTATCTTAATACCCTCTAGTACAACTGGTACGGCCGCCCTCAGTACCATCGTGCCGGACACTATTACGTCATGGGTGGCCAGTGCGTTTGCTGTCCACTCAACGTCTGGGCTTGGAGTAGCTGCAGATACGGCAAAGGTATGACTGTAACGTTTTTTATAGAATAGAGTCGAGTTTTCTCAGCTTACATTTTAAGGCCTTTTTGGTAATGTGTAGATTTAAGTGCTATGTAACGTGTTTTTTTTTTACAATAATCGCTTTTTTGTTATATGTCGTGTTGTACTAGTATATTGCGTTGCATTTTTATCTACTGCAGATGCATTGCATGGGTTTTCCTATAACACGATTAATATGCTATTGGCTTAATTAAAAAATAACGTCCAATTATTATTTTGATCATTTGCAGTTAGAGGCATTCCGCCCGTTCTTTGTTTCTCTGAACTTGCCATATTCAGTAGTACGTGGAGAAGAGCTCATCTTGCAAGCGGTGGTTTTTAACTACATGGACCAAGATATGGACGTAAGTTACCAGATAAACTGAAGGACTATTTCAGTTTATAAACATCATCCGAATCCGCGGTGTCCGTTTGTATTTCTGTGTATGTGTATTCGCATGCGGTGTGAGTTTTTAACGAAAATACAAGTTGACAAAGGTATTTTAGAGGATAATTATAAGGATTTAGAATACATGTATGTAGACATATAAATTACAATGTATTTTTCTCCTTTTTCAGGTTCTTGTGACACTGGAAAAGTCTAACGAATTCAAGAATATTGTGTTGGACAAAATGGGTAAAGCAACAACTGTGTCTGAGACACAGACGGAGAGAGTCATGGTAAGTGAATAATGGCCATCTGCACATGTTTACGCCAGGAATAAGAACTGTTTTACCAACCTTCATACATGTATTTGTTACAGGGCACATGCACCGTTCTACAGTCTGTTTCACTGTCACAAATTTTCGATATAAAAGTCCATTACATTGGCAGATTTAGGGGGTGTCAGGGGGTCCTGACCCCCCCCCCCCCCCTTTTGATTTTGAACAATTTTACACCAGTGGTCCCCACTTGAAATTAGAATTTTAACTACATGTATCTGAATCATAGTTCTAAACCGTACACAATGGCACCGTTAGCCCTCTAAAATAACAAAAATTTTCAGGACCAGGTGAACCCCAGTGGGGGGG